CAGCAGGAACAGAGAACGGGTCTAAAAGCAGTTTGATCGAAAAGTTCCTGGCGTATTTATCAGCTTTCAGAACCCCTCTGAACTACATAAGGTTTGAAGATAGGTTTGAGCTTACAAAGCCCCTGCAGCCAGAGCTGATTCATAAGAGGTAGCTGGCATCCATGAGGGAAGAGGAGAGGAAGGAGAGAGATGTGCTGCAAGTGGCTGATAGTCCAGTCACAGAACACTATCTGGTGAGAGGTGATGGACAAGGCCTGGAGAATCAGTAGTTAGGATGGAAGAATGGCTTCCATCTGTAGAATGCTCGGTTTGGACTGTTAGAATCCTTAAGAGATATGTAATGCAAAATCAGTCAGGTATCCTCTGGGCCTTCTCTTTTTGCTCTAAGCTCCCTGAGGACAAAGACTTTTGATTATCCTTTTCCAAGCCACTCCCTCACCATCCATTTTCCAAAGTGGCTGCACCATTTTACATTTCTATCAGCACTGTGTTTCTCCACATCCTCAACAGCACTTATCTTTTTTCATCATAACCATCCTAGTGGTTTTTGATTTGCATTTCCCTGATGGCTAAATTGATTGATTTTGTGTGTGTGTGTGTGTGTGTGTGTGTGTGTGTGTGTGTGTGTACAGGTCGTTTGAACATTAGCTGGCCAAACTCATTCAGTTATTTCAATAAACATTTATTTGTAACAGCAGTAAGACAAAGATCTCTGCTCTCAAGGGGTTCACAGAGTGTAATGGTATAATAGACATTTGTCCTTTTAGGGGTGTCGCTGTACAGCATTTGAACCCTTTATCTGGGGGAGAGGACACAGGACTCTTGCTAAGAAGCAGGGCCCCCTTGTAGTTGGGGCACAGGCATGTGACTTAGGCTCCCTCAATCCAAGGATCCATCCCTTGAATTGGGAGCCAGTGACCCAAAGTGGACAATCTTCTCCAATTCAGACAGTCATGAAAATGTGCCTCTTGGTTCTTCCAGTGTGGGAAGTGTCACTGACCTTTGCCCCAGCTGCTATGCTTTAAATTCACCCCAATATTTGCTGCTTTGTTCTGAAGCCACACTGCTCCCAGCCAGTGACTGAGCACAGCAGGGATACTAAGTCAGGCCCATTTCTGGGAGACACAGGACTATGTGGCCTGTGACTGTGGCAACAGAACTCCCCATCAGCCTGGTCGAACTTTATTAGCACTGCACTTCAGTCTACAACACTTCCTACCTAACCTTCTTCTTTCCTTCTCTCAGCCATAAAGGTCAGATTTACACTGCAGTTTAACATCTCTGCCAGCTTCCTCCCTATGTTCTCTCACTGACATTTTCCCCAATAAATCTCCTGCATATCTAATCCCAGCTTGGTTTCTGCATCTCTGAGGACCTAAGCCAACCCACTAATGGTGCTATCATGGTGGTAGTAATGGTGACAGCTATGATGTTGGCTGTGTAGTCCTGAGTCTGGTTCTCCAGTCCAACTTGTGATTCTGGGAGCTATTCAATATGCTTTTAAGACAAGCATTTTCTGCTTAAATTAGCCAATCAATTTCTGTTGCTCACAACTAAGAACCCTCTGGATTATAGGGGAAGGGACAAAAACATTCAACTACAATACAGTGTGACAAGGGTTATGATAGAAGCACAGAATCTGTGGAAGCACATAGGAGGCACCTAACCCAGTCTTTATATCCTCTCAAATGAAATATCCATATGCTACCTGGAATTGCTGGTCAGCTCTTCTCACTAATTTTACAAGCCACCCCAAATTCAAAGGCTCACAACCATCTTCTCAATTTACCATTCCTTAGGAAGCAGTTCTCATAGTTACATTCACATAAGAATTATTTGGGAAAGAAGACTACTTGCAGATTCCAGGGCTCCATCCTTCGAGTAATGCAAGTGCTCAGAGGATCATAACTTGAGAAAAACTGTCCCAGGGATAGCTCTACAATCTGCTCCTAAAACAATTTTATCCATCATCATAGTGCGCATTTCATAAATACTGGCAGCAGTTGACCCCT